TTATTTTATTATATACTATGCTTCAATTAAAAGGTGATTTTTGGCAAGGATATGATATATAACTTAATTCTCAAGGAAAGCAGCATTATAAATGTAAAACATGTGGCAAATAGTGGGTAAAAAATGCATTACAGTTGCTAAGTTACTATAACAATTGTGCATTGCGAGCTCCTTCAGCTAATATAACAGAAATACCTACTTCTTTACCTGAATAAACTTTTAAATGATAACAAACGATAACAAATGATAATAATAATTTTATTACTAAAATGACGGCAGCTGACCAAAAGGAATTAGAAAGTTTGTTTATGCGTATAATTTATTTTACAGGTATTCTTTTTAACATTCTTGAAAACGAAGATATAAAAGCTTTTTTTACAAAAGCTTGTCCTTTATTCAAATTACCTACTCACCAAAGCCTTTTAACTACTCTTCTTGATCAAGAATATAAGGATATCAGGACTGTTACAAATTATTTACTTAATAAAATACAATATTTTTGTCTCACAACTGATAGATAGTCTAATATTAATAAAGATCCTATTATCAATTATATGATTACTACACTGAAACCTATTTTTTATAAGTCAATTTCTACCAAAGAAGAACATCATTCTGCAGAAAATATTGCGCAGAGTATAAAACTTACAATGGAACAAATAGGTGTTGATAAATTTGCAGCTATTATCACTGACAATACTCCTAATATGAAAGCTGCATAGAGGATTCTTAAAACTAAATATCCTAATAAAGTTTTTTTTGATTATTGGGTACATGGTATTAATCTTTGGATAAAAAATATTTTAAAAATTGATTGGGTTAAATCAATTTTAGAAAAAGGAAAGGAAGTTGTACAATATTTTTGTAATCATCAAATTCCTTTAGCAATACTTTATCAGCTTCAATTAGAAAAGTATAGACGTATAATTGCTTTAGTATTAATTATTGATACACGATAGAGATCAGCTTTTTATTGTATTGATCATATTCTTCAAACTAAAGCAGCTTTGCGAACTATTTTGGCTGAAGAAATAGAAATTAATGAAAATATTGTACTTAATCTTAGTAGCAAAAGTTTTGGAAAGATTTAAAAGATTTATATAACCTATTAAAACCCTTTGTTATCTTTATTAATCAACTTAAAAGTGATGAACCATTTCTTTTATCGGTATTTGTTAAATTATGAGAATTGGAATCTGAAATTAAAAACAATACAATTATTCTAAAATAAGTTCAAGATGATGTAATTGATTTCAGCAAAATATATTGAAATAACTTTATGTATAATTCTGCAATTAAGATTGCATATAAATTAGATTTACAATATAAAGGTAGAATGCTTGATGTACAATAATGGGATAATGTTATTAAAGAAGAAATTATTAGACTTACGGAAGAAAAAAATGCTAGTTAAGTATTAAATGAATTAGTAGAATATGTTAGTCAAACAGGTGGATTTGCAAAAAGACATTTGTGGGGTAATATAAAAGAAAAGCCAATAAATTGGTGGAATTTATTAAAGGCACAATATCCAATATTAAGTCAAGTAGCTCTTAAAATTCTTTCAATACCTATAACCTCAGCTGCTAGTGAGCGGAATTAGTCAGCTTTTAGTTTTATTTATACTAATTACACAATCGATTACATAATGAAAGAGTAGAAAAAATTGTATTTATATATTGAAATCTTAAAATTTTGTGAAAATTGCAATAGCCATTATCAGTTAAAGAGTTTGAAAAAAAAATGTTGAAATAGGAATCAATAATAATTCAAATGATATAATGTTAATAGATGATTTAGAAGAACATAATTGGAAGGATTCATTTTTATTTGATTATGAAGAATTAGATTTTGAATAGCATATTAATTGTATATCTTATATTTTATAATAAATAATATTCATTTTCGCATATTATAATATATAGTATTAATTTTAAATTTGAAAAATTTGACCAGATTTATCTAAATTTTAACCTGCATTACATATATAATAAATGTAACTTATCACAGTTACATGTAACTTACATATAACTTACATTGTAACTTACTATTATAACGTAACTTACAACAACCCTAATTTTTTGTAGTCTTCATATTGCTTATATTATTCTTACTACTTTTGAAGATATTGCATTTGGAAAATTAACTTTCACTATAGGATTCAATAAACACTTTCATTCTATTTAACTTATTCTATTTAATATGAGAACTTTATAATAGGTATGATAAGTCTAATAAGGATAAACCATTAGGAAGAAAGGCTGAAATAATTTATGATCTTTACAAAACACATCTTAATTTTAATAAATTAATATCAAAAACTAATGTGATCATATTGGTTATATGAATAAAAATAGTGGAATAATATCTTGAACATAAGAAAGCTCACAATTTATTAAAAAATACATCTAAATCTTATTTAAATAAATAAAAATTATTTGAAATATGGTTAAATGATTTACAATTAGATATTCAATTCAAATGTCTTGTAAAGTTTGAAAAGGAGTTTTATGAGTCTATGATAACTTTTTTAAGTGGTTTTGATCCTCAACTTAGAATTTTGTTGAATATAATAAATTTGTTCAAATACTTCCAGGTTATAGAGCTTACCAAATACCAGAAGCAGTTTTAAGATAGATTAAAGATCTTTGATTTATTGCTGAAAATATACATGATTTCTTTGATGAAGAGTTGTTAGAAGTAACTGAAGTATTAAAAGAACAACAAATTGAAAAATTAATTGAAGATTTAGAGCTTGCAGCAACAAAATCACTGAAAGTCTTTTAAAAATGGATGAACTGTTGACTTTATCTTCCTCTGAGTATTTGTCATCTTGGTGGATCCTATAGCCATGAATTTGCTAAAGTATATGCAAATGTTATTCTTGGTTTACATTGATCTAATATTTCAACATTATGACAATTAACACATATGAAATTTTTAGAAAATGATATTGAAGAGGGTATAACAAATAATTTTGGTCTATTTAATGCTTTGACAGATTTAACATTTAAAAATAAATTTATTCAATATGTTCAAAATCAGAATCCAAATCTTTGCAAATATACTCATCTATATAATAATTATTTGATTTTTATTATAAGAATATTAAATTTTTTCTAAAATTTTATATTTATATAATATTAAATTTGATTTTGTAAAAAGTCGAATTTGGTATATAATAATTCACCATATGATCTTAAAACTCATCAGAATATGAAACAAGAATTACGGCAATCAAAACTACGGCTTTCTATTGGCTCTAATTCATTTAAAATATTAACAAATCCAGTATTAAAAAGGTCCGGAAGCAAAGAAAAAATCAACCATCGTGTAACTTAAATTTGAAGAATAATATAATTATAGATGATGCAGAAAGAGTTAGAAAAGAGGATCAATTATTTGAAAAAATTTTTTCTAAAAAAAAAATAATGTATTTAAACTCTGTAATTGGTATTAAAAAACTAAAAGTAAAAAAACTTCGAATTTGCATTACAATTTTTAAAAATATCCGGCAAAAAAATCCAATTTGATCCATTTAACCGGTATAACCGGCAGAAATTAAATGATCGTCAAAAATCTCTAATAGTAAATTTTTAACAATGTTTTGATTTACATAGTTGATGGAACACTCCAACGCAACCGTACGAGGTAAGATTCGCAGAATTCATCCCCAATGCGTTCTTCGAAAACTCAACAGGATGTGAGGATGATATTCAACTGGTTATGTGTTTAACTGTTAATGAAGATAAAATATGTATTAGAGCGGGTTTTTTTTATGTGTCATGTGATTTAATTATACTCCTTCCCGAGTTAACGACAAATGGATTATTGCAGCTTCCCCTATTATGTTGTGGCGTCTTACGATTAATTCATAAATTAGATACTTTCAGAATGAACAGTGTCACAATCTTTTGTGAACCACAAAATTGCATAATCTAATTCTGTTCTTTTATTGTTTTGTTTCGGGTTATATATGATGTAACTCACCGCAATGACTTGCAATTACATATTTGTCCTCTTGTACACATGTGATAAAATGTAAAGAACAATGGGTTAATAAAATATTTTTAGATCACAAATTTTTAGATGTTAAAAAAAAAGTAAGATCTTTTTTACATTTCGAGACCAAAATAACTCATTTAATACGAATAAATATCTAAAATTATATAATATAAAAAATAATTATATATATATTTTTTTTTGCTGCCAACCTCATCAGCAAATAATAAATAAATAAAAATAAATTATTCTATCGACCAAATAAGCAAAGAAAAAAAAAAAAAAAAAAATTTGATTTGATTCTTTTTTTCCTTTTGCTAAAAAAGGTAATTTTTTCAAATACGATTGCGTCTTATATAAAACACTAAGAAGAGGAAAAAAAGGTATCGAATAAGGAAACATGGTATAATATATATATATATAACTACATAAATGACCAAAAAATAAAAAGGGGATTCGAATTTTTAATATAGTAATAATATCCACTTAAAATACAAAGAGTAGAAAATAAAAAAAAAGAGAAATTTTGTTAGCTTTTGAGGTTAGCTTTGGTTTAAAGGATAAAAAAAAAATGAAATAATAAATTTTTACATATATATACACTAATAAATATATATATATGTATTTTGAATACATTATAACAACATCTATTTTTTGCCGTACTTGTTGACAAGAATAATTGATATTATATATAGTGATTTCTTTTGTTAAAAAAAAAATTTTGTTTTTTTTGAATTCGAATCATAGTGTGCACAAAATCCCACAGCCATAGTTTTTTTTTTTTGATAAATTACCAAATAGCAAGATTCCAGACCATTCTTATTCTGTCCAAAGTTCTTAGCAATCTATTGAGCTGAGATACTTCATATAAAGAAGAAAATAAACGGAGAATAATAATATAATTAATTTAAAAGTTCTATAACATTAAAGAATTATCCTTCTCCATCGATCTATTGCTCAGCAAAGTGATTTTAAACACCGCCACTTTAGTAACTTTTTTAATGAACGAGGACAACCATGCCTTCCATTTCAGGATTGTTCAATAATTCATTGTTGAGAGCTTCCTCTTCTTCAAACATGCTCACGCTACCAACACGTGCCATACTCATCTTCCTACGATGTTTGAGACATTGTTTATACATAGTCCAAACAGCAGAATTGGCAAGTAATCCTTGACGCAAGTGAGAGAGGTAAGTATAGAAATCGCATACAGCAACCACACGATCTCTACAGAATCGATCAAGAGGAATCCAACCGGGGGTCCCAGTTACGGAGAATCTTGATGTTTGTGATGATGATGAGATTGTCGTGGCTGATGGTGGTACAACAGCATCGGGCCCAGAAAGTCTCATACGGAAATCACAACTTCTTACATGACCACAAAGACTACATTTGACTTTAGGTGATGGAGGTGGTTCATGATAACTATTTTGTCTTGGATTTGATGTGGAACTAATTTGACTGGATAACGGTGTACTTGGTACAGAATTCGAAGAACTGTAATAAATTGTTTGAATTTCACATTGATTTTTCATAATAGCATCTAATAAACGTCTCTTATAGAAAGGAGATTTCCAACCACTGCTCCCTTCAAAAAGACAAGGTTGAATATCTTCAACCATACAACGTTTCATAAATGCGTGAGTTGGTGTTGAATTTGTAGGAGCAGGAGAGGTTATAAACGATTTCACATATTCTTGGAATTCTTCAAACACAACCCCATCAATGTATACGCGTCGACCCTTTTGAATGTACTCATCCACGGAAAAGATGCTAGGTGACATATGACCAAAGTTTCCAAACACTTTGCTTGAACGAGGGCTGTTTATAGGAGAATTTGACATTAAACTTCTTCGAACAGAATTTCTGTTTAATGCACCAACACAATTTGGTGTTGGTGTCTGTCGTTGTTTAGTGGTATCCAAATGAACCAATAGTAATTTCAATTCTCTTAAACGATCTTGTCGAGTTCCCGAAGATTTTATTGAATTTTTTAATTTTCCTTTACATTCTCTATTTAAGATTTCCAATTCTTCACGTACGTTTGCCTCATCAAATACCATTTGATTAACTTTCTCAAACATTGCATTTACCCATTCATCAATTTCTTGTTCTAAATGCTCCTTACTGGCTTGAATTTGAGCACGAATAGTTTGCTCTTCCGAAAGGGATATAGCAAGGGCTGAAAGGTCTCGTTTAAGGTAAGCGCGTTCCTCAAGATGTTGATCAACTTGAGCAAGTAAAGTATTACAATTTGGACAAAGGTTTTCCGAATGAGATATATCGGGAACCGGACCTTGCGGGGGGAGATCATGTAAACGACGTTCATCAAATTCGTCGTCATCCGATTCTTCCTCATCTTGATCAGAATCGTCCTCCTCCCGCTCTGTTCTACCATCGATCTCTTCCGGTTCATCATGTACATAACCATTTAAAGTCGTTTGGTTACTAGCCATTTCAAATTCTGCACGTCGACGATGTTCCAATTCTTCCTCGTCATCAATATCATAATCGATTGATTGCCTCGGGGACGTTGAGTATGTATCATCATCGAAATCAAGGTGTCGTTCTTCATCAAGGTCAGGGTAGTCCGCGATATCTTCATCCCCATCTAAACCATAATCACCTAGGTCAACGGAAAGTTGATCACTACAAACAGATGCTCTTCTTGAAATATTGTTATTATGATCATCATTCTGATCTTGTTGTCGAGGGATATCGTCATTATGATTAGGAGTTTGTACCTCTTCCTTTTGCTCAAAATTTCTCGTTTCATTATGATCGTTTATTCTATCATGATCAGGTTCATCATGTTGAATTTTTGAATCGCGTCTCGATTGTTTCCTATAATTTTTAGGTTTATGATTATTATTTTGAGCGCTTTTTAAATAGTTTAGACATAATTTAATGCTATCTAAAAATTGTCCTTCTAAATCGGTTGATTCAACTGCCGTGGCATTATCATCATCATCTTTACTATTATCATCCTCATCATCAATATTTTGCGCTTTAAGCGTTTCAACAGTCCTTGCTAATACAATTATTGCTTCTCGAGCTCCGAATTCAAGTCGACTAATTTTTGTTTTTAAACTATGAATGTATTCATCTTTCTCCCCAATTTCTTGAAGTAATTGATCACGTTCTTGTTCATGAGATTCGTTTATGGTCTAATTTTTTTTTTTTATTTTATTATGTTTTTATTTTTAATTTTTTTTTCATGAAATAGAAAAGTATCAAGTTAATAAAAATGGTTCGCAATTGGTTTATTATTCAAATTAAAAATTAAAACTTTGAAAAGGTCAAATTATATATGCATACATATGTATATGTATGTATATCAATTTTCTATGTACTACTGAGAAATGTTGGTTCAACATATTCGACCACAAAGTCAAGGTCAATTGATGTTCTATACTATAAATTTACAGCAATATTTAAAACGAAACTTCCTTCGCAAACTATTATGTAAATTTTTTTTTTTTTAAAACGGTAACCGAGATTTAACAATAGATAACACACACCTCTAAATCGGTTTCCAATTCAACAACTCGATTTTCCAATTTAGATACGAGATCTTGTGCCTGAAGTAATAGAGGGAGAACGTCCATTTGTTGAAAACTTTCTTGTCCATTCATACTGAATGAACTATCAAGGGTTTCTGCTGCTGGCATACTATATCATAAGAGAATATGAAACGATATCTTACTGAAATATATTATATATTATATATATTGTACTTTTAATATTATTATATACCGTAATTAAAATAATTTTTTTTTTTTAAAAAAAAAAACCCCGTAAAAATCTTTATAAAAAAAAAGTCGCAAAATTTTAAAGTTTCTATTATCGCAAATATAAATGTTTTGAAATTTTAATAATGATAAAAATAATTAAAGGAAAAAAAAAAAAAAAAGGCTTGATAAAATTAATTTACATATAATATATATATATAAAAGCAACTTACAAAAAAAAAAAAAAAAAAAAAAAAAAAAGAGGACCGAAGAAAGGGGAAAGGGTGAAGGATTCACAAGTATAAGGGTTTTACAATATATATTTATAATGTACGAGAAAAAAAAATTTTTTTTGGTAACTTAAAAAAGTTATATTGTGTATAAACAATTTCTTTCTCTTTACTTCTTCTATAACCACTTTTTTTCTCTTTTGCTGATGAGTGCAGCAAGTATGAAGTGGTGTACAATATCGGTAGATACTACTAAAATCAAAAAGGTTGTGCAAATTAGGCAATTATCCACACTCATTAAATGTGAGAACACAGGCAAAACTGTACTAAGGGATAAATTTCATCTTTATAATCACACATCAAGTTATCCCAATGAAGAATACAATTTAATAATTGTCAGCTTCCCAATATAAAATTGGCTAGCATGACTCAGTTTTACAATATTTGTATTCATGTTGGCTCACAGGCTGGGCTGAATTTCTACCTCATGAGTCATGTGAGATGTAAATCTTAAATTGGTGGAGAGAACATAATCAAGTTTTGGTACAATGAAAAAATCCTATACATTCAAAAAATTTGCGACACAAACCCCAACAGTCAAAAAAAAAAAACAGAAAAAAAAAAAAAAAAAAAAAAAATCACCACCTTGTCAAATGAGAAATAACATATGATAGTATATATAATAACTTTAATTATTTATAAATCAATCGTACACTTAAAAGCTTTTAAGTTAATATTGATTCCTTTCCTAATTTTGTATCGCTTTCAAGTTGTTCTTCCTTTCCTAATTTTGTGTCACTTTCAAGTTGTCCTTCCTCTCCTTCGCTCTTATCAGGACGATAGTCGCCTTTCATTAATTCCCGCACTCGAGAAATAAAAGGTTCGGCTGTCTGCGAGGGAACAGTTATATGTGATGATAATGACTCGATCAATTTTTCAAGCCTCGAAAATTCTTCATCCTTGCGATAGGATTCAGTCATATTTACGCGCCTGCATAATTATACGATAAACAATGATTGTTCCATTAATAACATAAATGCATTGTATATATTTGGCGTTATTGTGATCATTGATAAAATCTTTTAATATACTCACTGATCGTAATTATGATATTCTTCGACCAAATCTGCCATTTGCGAGAATATTTCTTCTGGCAAATCTTCACCTTGTAAAAAGGAATGTGGGCATGAATAAGGGGTCCCTGAAAAAAAAAGGGTGATAAAATGATGCGGTTATGAATGGATTATTAATCAAAGGCGATAAAACGGTAAAAATGAAATCAAAGTGGGAATTAATACTTACTGAATTGTCCGGAAAGATCGTAATTCGTACCACTCATCCAGAATTGAAATCTTGACACATTAGATTCATGCTCGATATCATATGGTGTAACAATCACCCCAATAAATGGTTCCACTCCATCTTCGCGTCGCCACATTTCCTGTTGATAAGAGAGAGAATTTATGTTGAGAACAATGAATATGCTCAGCCATTTACTTTATTTTGTTTTTTTTCACCTGGTATTGAGTCTGATTTTCAATATCTCGGATAGAAGGTTGTGGATCGAACGTTGGATGAGAATGATACCATCCGACAAATTCAAGTCCCTTCTCGGCAAAAACTTCTCTAGCGGCAACCTCAGATGCAGGGTCCATCTCACACTACGATATTTTATCATCATTGTCGTGCCGTTTAAAAAAATTTCCCAATCCAATACGTTTGAAAGATGATTCAAATACCTGAAATCCAGTACTTGCGCTTTTACATGGGTACGCATACGTTACTTCCATGAGTTCTCGATCGGAATAGTAATGCCCACCAAGCAAACCAATTATTTCCGTATGTGCCAAATGAGCGTGAAAATCCATCAAAAGCTGCAATGTATAAAAAGATGAGTATTAACCCTTTTCGAATGCACGTGAAATCAGCCCCTCGTACCATAACGTTCGTCGAAACTGAAACTCGAAACGGCGCAGGATTTCTCGATGTATAATGATGTGGTGGAACCAACCGGAAAGGATCATAAGAGCCAACCATGTCATATGCTAAAGCATCGTAACGTTATTTGTTAAGGAACTACAATGTGAGTGCATGTTTACTGCAAATGTTTCTTTAATGAAAAAAAAAAGGATATTTCATTATAATTAATCCGGCCTCCGTTTTTACTGGTGCGAGCCCTCTTGCTTCGGCGTATTGGAACGTCATCTTAATTATCCAAGTACGATAACACTTCATTTATCATTGATCGAATATGCTATTATTTTTTCAAAAAAATCGTATCCCTCAAAAAAAAAACAATTCGATTATATCTATACCTCCTGCCGGTTCTACACTATTTTCTTTAGATCCATTGAGGTTTTCCCTTATATTATATATATATATATATATATATATATTTGTTTTTATTTTATATTTAAACAAAGAAAAGAATCAAAAAAAAAAAGTTTATGTTCATGAATTAACACTGAAAATATTTCTTGTTTCCTCTTACCATTCGCCATTATTGTTAAGAACTTTGATCCCACTTAATGATAAAAAAAAGAAGGATTAGATTTCAAAAGGCGTTCTGATCGAATTAAACATTTTACCAAAATATGATTCCAATGTTCTCACCGGCTTCGACGATAATCACCATCTTCCGACTTCCCCTTACGTTTTACACTATTAGGAATTGATTTCTTTGTAGTCTCATCAAGTGACTTTCTTTTTACAGGGCGTTTCTCTTTTTTTATGGCATCCTTGCCAAAATTAATTGCACCTATTGATTCCAGGTATAAATGAACCCGTCCAATCGCGTTAACGTCACCACAATCCTGATAAATTACGATTAATCATTAGGCATTCTTTTTATTAAAGTATGTATATAATGAATATGACTAGATGAAAAATAAACCTTAAGCCCTGGCCTGACGCTAGTTTTAGAAACGAATTTTGGTTTACTCTTTAACCAAGCATTTAAAATATAATTTCTAATTTTCATGTAACGTTCTGGTGTTTTTAAACCTCTCCCAACAAAAAATTCTATATTATTTCGTCTTTCCTCTTCAGTAATAATTGCTTGGTCAATTATCTAAAAGCACAAAAGAAGGTCAATCAACATCATCCAAATGTGATAAATCATCATTTTAATTTTAAAAGAATAAAGAATCCACTTTTATATATTTACCTTCTCTTTAATCGATTCTTTACTAGTTAAATTCGAGCTCGTACCCTCTCTCGATTCGATTGATTGGTCGATAGAATCGGAAAGCTCTGCAGGGGGTGAAGAAGTCGCGTCATTTTCTGTATTTGACTCCGAATGATACGCGTCACGAGTCGATGTTGAAGCTTTTTCCTCAACCTCTTCAGAATAAAATGAACTAGACATTTGAAAAATCAGTATCCTTGGCGGGACCTTTTTTAAATGTAATAATTCGCCACTGATAAGTGATAAATTTGTTTATCGGTAAAGAAAAACCAGGTATGAGAAAAATGACGGATAAATAACGAGTTTTAATTTGTCACACATTCAAATTGCAGTAAAATGGTTCGTGTTCGATATCACTTTTGAACATCACCGAGAGATCACATAGTAAATTCAGGATTAAATTACGCCCAATTACCAAATTTACTTATCATTCGTCAGCTGATATAAAAGATGAAAAATAAAAAATTTTCTTTGTATTCAAAAAAAAAAATTTTTTTTTTTCTTTCAAAGGTAAGCGAAAGATTATTAATCTTGTATCATTTTTTTTTTTTTTATTAAGTGATGAGATAAAATTTTCAGAGAATCAAATCATAAGATGACAATTAAATTTTACCCCTCTAAGAAGTTCTGATAAATAAAACCCTTCATATATAAATATGTGATTCTTTTTTTTTATTGAACATTTTTATTAAAAAAAAAATATATTTTTTTTTTCCTTTTTTTATTATTATTTTATTTACAGGATTTCCCTAAATAAAACAGGTAAAAATTTTATTTCGTTTTTACATTTTCTTTTTGTCCGATATGATTATACCAAATATCTAAATTCAATCTGTCAATCTACTGAAAACAAAAAAAAAGTGTTGATAAAAAGGATATTTACCCAAAATAATAATAAATTAAATGATCGTTCACATTGATTAATTCGCTTGGAATATAAAATTCTCTGTCTGAATCATGTCTTTTTTTTTGTTTTAAATTTAGGAATGCTGAAAGCACAAAGGGAGGTTAACGAGCGATATATTACCATTTTATAAATTCAGTAAATATTTTTCTCTCTCTTTTTTTTTTACGTGTTTTGAATCTTTACATTTTTATTTAATCAAGTTATAAAAAAATAAAACATTGAAATGCCATGAAATGCAATAAAATAATTTCAATTAAAAAAAAAATAAAGAAATTTTAAATTCATTGGATTGTAACAACAGCATCGTCCTCAACATTTTCAACATGTTCATTGGCAGCGAAAGTAGCTATATATTTAATTAGAATAAATAAAGGTTCGTTACAAACATTAAATTAGAAGAAAAGGTCATCAAGTATCTGACAATACTTACTGATAGAGTCAGCTGGTAAGGTAACCATGAGAGTCTTTCCAGTTACCACAGTTTTACCTGTTATTACACCACCTACCGAATTTGAATCATCTTGTAAGTTTCAAAACTCACGAATAGAAAATAAATTGTATAAAATTATCAGTACCAATTTTTTTGATGTCCTCTTCGGTTTTATCAATAACATCGATTGGAGTATCGCTTTTGAAGCGAATGATTTTCTTGACAGTTGTACCTGAATTCAACGTAATTAGCAAACCATTATAAACTCGTAAATAAAAATTTTTTTTCGTAAATATCTTTTTGCCGTGAACCTTTACCAGACATTTTCGACAAATTTTACGGAAGAAATTTTTTAAAATGGTAAGAAGAAATTACAAGATATATTTATTTCAAAATAAGCTCTTGATAACCTTAAAAAAAAAGGAGTTTGAACTTTCCAAATAGTTCTTTATATATAAATACCCCCTTTTCATTTTTTGATGATCAATCCGTCAATAAATCTCGATTCGTAAATTCTGCAAATTACATCATAAACTTTTTGGGCGTATTCACAATGTTTAGATACTTTTACATTATAATTTTCGTTCACATGCAAACATCACTTGAATACTGTGAGTAAATTTCATTTTTCCATTTAAAGAAAATTAATGCGTACCAACAGTAATTTGATTATCAAATGAAAAAGTTTGAAAAGATAAAAAAATCGTGGAATGTTGGAACTTATCCGAAACGCGCTAGTTCTATTCGAACTCTCACGTGATATTCGAATTGGAACACAATAACAATATTATAGATTCGATCGAACCGAATTAACTAATATACAATTCCATCTCTTAAAATACATTTTAAAGCAATTACATTTAAAAAATTTCAAATCTTACATCCTGAAAACACCAAACCGTGATTTCTCAATCTGTGCATTTAACGCGGCACTTAAAGCCAATCCGAGAACTTTTCTCGTGTCAGCAGGACTGATGATTCCATCATCCCAAAGACGCGCTGAAGAAAAGTATGGATGTCCTTCATCTTCAAATCTATCGCGAATAGATTTCTTGAATTTATCCTCCTCTTCCATTGACCACTATCAAAAATATTTTAAATTAAAATTTTATAATTATGCGTAAATTATCGATGTTGATTGATGAACGTACCACTTTGTCCTTTTCTGATTTTGAATCTCGTTTAATTTGAGCCAAAACACTTGCGGCTTGTTCGCCACCCATGACTGATATTCGCGCGTTCTTTATAAAACACATAATCAAATTTAGTTGCCTGAACCTAATATAATGAATCGAACTAAATAAATATAATTATAAAACTAACCGGCCACATCCATAAAAATCTAGGATTAAACGCTCTTCCGCACATTCCGTAATTTCCGGCGCCAAAACTTCCACCGATAATAACTGACAATTTTGGAACTTTAGCACACGATACCGCTGTCACCAATTTCGCACCATTCTTGGCAATACCACCAGCTTCTGCAGATGATCCAACCATAAATCCTGTAATATTCTGGAGAAATATTAACGGTATACCACGTTGTGCACAAAGCTCAATAAAATGTGTTCCTTTAAGAGCTGATTCGGAGAAAAGGATTCCATTGTTAGCAATAATTCCAATGGGATAGCCGTATAAATGCGCGAAGCCTGCGTTAAATATGTTCGTAATATATCAGTAGATAGATCTACAATAAAGTTTGAGATTAAAGAAAAAAAAAAACCTAACCGGTAACTAATGTTGTCCCATATAATTCCTTAAATTCTTCAAATCGACTACCGTCCACGAAACGCGCAATGACATTTTTTACATCAAAAGTTTTGCGTAGATTATCACCCACAATACCACCAAGCTCTGATGCAGAATAAATAGGCTCCTCGGGTTTTTTAATTGATAACTTTAAATCACAACCCTTGTTAGTTCACTCCTATATGTAAAAAAAATCTCTAATTATTGAATACAAACATTAGGTTTCTTCGACCAATTAAGCGTTTCAACAATACTTCTTGTGATTTGTAAAGCGTGCTCATCATTATTGGCGTAATGATCTGTTACGCCGGATGTTCGACCTGTAATAATATTGATACATGAGTCGCCGAAATTATTATCCTTAAATTTCAACTTATTACTCACAATGCAAATCTGCTCCTCCTAACTCTTCTGCTGTGATCACTTCACCAGTAGCTGCCTTGACCAATGGAGGCCCACCTAAGAAAATGGTACCTTGGTTTGCGACAATAACACTTTCATCTGCCATAGCAGGAACGTAGGCGCCACCTGCCGTGCATGATCCCATCACAACAGCTATCTGTGGTATGCCTTCAGCAGACATTGTGGCCTAATTGACATATAACAGATCGGTTAAAATCCAAGAATTTCAAATTCTTTTTTTTTTTTTTTTTTTCCAACTAACTTGATTAAAGAAAATGCGTCCAAAATGATCGCGATCTGGGAAAACCTCTGCTTGTTGGGGAAGATTTGCACCTCCCGAATCTACCAAGTATATGCATGGTAGCCGATTTTCTCGTGCAACATCTTGTGCTCGTAAATGCTTTTTGACTATGAGTAAAAGATTGTGAGGACTGGATATTTTATATCTTGTGACTACTTTAATCATACCTGTGATGGGATAATATGTTCCGCCTTTGACTGTTGAGTCGTTAGCGATGATCATACATTCTACCCTACATCAGAACTTTTAAATAAATATTCAAATCATCAACTGTTAAATTTTTTCTGTAATAATCATTATGATGATTATAATACTAACCCTTTAACACGTCCTATTCCAGAAATTATTCCGCCTGCGGGTATTTCATCTGCGTACAATTTGTAACCAGCGAGTTGTGAAAGTTCTAGAAAGGGAGATCTTTAGGAAGCAGAAAGTCAAAGTCATATTAATTTTAAATTAGAAGTTAGTAAATAACATAGAAGACATGAAATAACTTAACCCATTATCAAGCAAATGATTTATCCTTCGATAAAGAAGAAATTGGTTATTTATAATATAAATAAGATTCAAAACGATAAAGGGTAAAATCAATATCAACCTATCGCGAACTAATAATTTTTTACGTTCCAGGTGACGCTTTCGAGCGCTCTCACTGCCACCTAAAGGAATTCAAAACAAAATTCATCTTATAAAATTAAATCGATTTTAATTTAAATCAATAAACGATTTTTACCTAACACAACTTTATTTATTATATTTTCCAAGTCTTTGACCAGCATGTTCATTTTTTCAGCATTTTCCTATCAATAAAATATAATTAACAAGAATTTATTTTTATTATGCTGTCGTTAAAACAGTACGTTTTTATTCACTTTACTTTAAACTCGTCGCTCTTAGTGTCGACATTATTTGGTAAAACGTTCGTAGCCTTTTCATGCCAGGTATGATACTTTAAGAGGTTGGGTCGCAATACCTTGCGGTTACTAAAAGTAAAACCTTTTCGAATTGAAGGAAAAGAGCCCCTTGTAAATTGCATAATAGAGGTAAATTGTAAAATAAAAAAAAAAGTAAATTATTAGAATGCGCACTACATAAACCAATTCGGAAGTTATAGTTGGTCAAAGCGTGGGAATATATAAATAATATAAGCCACCAAAACTTGAAGTTTAAACTCAATAGATTTTTTCTTCGAAGTAAACCCAAACAATGGAAATTGAGTCAACAGAGTAAAGTAATCTTCCAAATTTATAATTCTTGTTTTTATAAAAAATTTAGTCGCTAACACTTTATTTTATCTTATGATACTTATATATAGTGTGATTCGATTAATTTTACAATTTTTGAAAGAAAGTAACCTTCCAAATAGTTATGCTGCTTTGCAGGTTTGTTTAAAAATTTAAAAGTCGTTCTCCTTTAACATATTATTACGAGTTTCTAAAGTAATATTTCAATTTAGGAAGAATCTACCATAGCTCTTAACACTGTTGATTCAATAGAATCATTTACTGATGAAATTATACAAGGACATTGGGATGTTGTATTGCGCACGGTATCTAATTTGAAAATACCACAGAGAAAGTTAATTGATCTTTATGAACAGGTTTTAAATTCATTATAGAATTTTCCTTTATAGTTGTCAACTGAATGAATAATAAAACCAATCCAATTTTAGATTGTTTTAGAATTAATCGAAATGAGAGAATTAGGAGCAGCCAGAACTTTATTAAGGCAAACAGATCCAATGCAGCTTTTAAGAGATCATCATTCTGAGCGATATCTTCATCTTGAACATTTGCTTGCTCGAACATGGTTTGATCCAAAAGAAGTTAGTTATCACATATGTGTATATACAATTTTAATTGATTATGAACTAATTTTTTTGTTAATTAAGGCATATCCATCAGGAATAACAAAGGAAAAGAGGCGTCAAGTTATTGCACAAGGTTCTATGTCTTAAAATAGATTCTGTTAATATGTTGATGACGCTTATTAAATTTATCGTTATAGAGCTTTCTAGTGAAGTTACTGTGGTTCCACCTTCAAGACTTTTGTCACTTCTTGGACAAGCTTTGAAATGGCAACAACATCAAGGATTATTACCGCTGGATGCTGCATTCGACCTTTTTAGAGGGTCAGCGCCCACAACAAAAGCTGAGGATGATGCGGTTCCTACGAAGTGTTATACCACCATTAAGGTTAATCATATGATTGTTTGAATTTAAAACTTATAAGTAGTAATACGTTCTTATTTGATGAATTCAACAAATTCATTTATTTTAGTTCCTAAAAAAAAATCACGCAGAGGCTGTAGCATTTTCGCCCGACGGACAATATTTGGCCACAGGTAGTTTAGATGGATTTATCGAAATATGGAACTATTTAACTGGAAAACTTCGAAAAGATTTTAAATACCAAGTAGAGGTTAGATTTGATTTTGAATTTTTATTTTTAATGATCTTGACTTTGAAATAATTAATTAATAACGTATGTCTTTATCTCCATCAGGATAATCCCATGTTAATGAATGATCCCGTATTATGTCTAAACTTTAGCAGAGATAGTGAAATGCTTGTGTCTGGTGCACAGGATGGAACTATTAAGGTAGCCAGACTTAAGAAAATTTCAGTAGCCTGTTTTATTTCCAACTTTTTTCAAGGCGTAAAGCTTTTTAGGTCTGGAAAATTCAAACAGGCCAATGTACGAGAAGGTTTTCTCCAGCTCATAGTCAAGGTGTGACTTCTGTATGTTTTAACCGGGATGGGAGTCAGGTTTTGAGCACCAGTTTCGATCATACTATCAGGTATGTGAGTACGTTACATTTATTTATTGTTTAAATCATTCATAATGTTATTATCATGTATGACAGGCTTCATGGATTGAAATCTGGCAAAACTTTAAAAGAATTCCGTGGACATACTTCATTCGTTAATAATGCGATATTCTCGCATGATATGTCAAGAATATTAAGTGCAAGCAGTGATGGTACCGTAAAGGTTAGTTGTAATATACAAGAAGATCCAAATATATCTTTTAATTGATAATAATAATGTTTATAAATGAAATAATTAGATTTGGGATAGTAAGTCAGCTGAATGTCTACATACTATATCTCCGCAAATTGGTCGTAGTCGAGATAATTCATCAATTGCTGGAGGAAGAACGGTTAATTGTGTGGTTCAAATGCCAAAAAATGCTGATCAAGTTATAGTTTGTAACAAAAGTTCGATAGTTTATTTGATGACATTAAGAGGACAGGTAAGAAAACAGTAAATTTACATATTTTTTAAAGATTATTTTTTAACGATTTTCTCTTTTTTAAGATAATTAAATCATTCAATTCGGAAAAGAAAGTTGATGGTGATTTTGTTAGTTGTACAGTATCCTCTCAAGGAGATTTTATTTATTGTATAGGTGAAGATTCTAATTTATATTGTTTTAATGTGCAAACTGGAAAATTAACTTCAACAATAAAGGTAAAAAATAAAGATTTTTTTTTTTTTTTAATATACAATTCATCATTTCAGTATTTCTTTACAAATTTTTTATATTAAAAAAAAAAAAATTTTAAAAATAGTTATCTGATGCCGATGTTATTGGATTTTCGCATCATCCTTTCTCAAATATTTTAGCCACTTATGCTGACGATGGTATTATATCTTTATGGAAACCATAAATAAGAAATAAGAATTCAATTAGAAAAAGAAAATTTTTTGTCTTAATTTCATTTATAGAGCATCATGTTAAATAAATATGTAAAGTTGGATATTAATAAACAAAATCAAAAATGATAATCTTCTAATTGTTATATACAAACTAACGGTTCTACCCGGGAGATGGCCCGGTAAATGCATAATTTGTTATACTGTTTTTATTTTATCAAATTTTTTCAAATTTATGTAATATTATAATTATTAAATAAAATTCCAACGGCATAATATATTAATATCAAATTCGAATTTCTTGCGAATTTTTGTGATTCGAATGATTCGAATAATCCGAATTAATTCGAATTTTAAATTTTACTTAATATGAATATTCGAAGAAGAATTTTCTATATGAATTGATCTATGACCAAAACTCCTCAGATAATTCATATTGAGAAGATCATCATCGCCTACAAGTATTGTCGTTGTGGATACTACGCAAGAAAAAAAAGTCCACATGAAAGAATTACTAATTCGTTGCAATACGGATAAATTCGCTGTAAAATAAATAACAACAGCTCTTTTTGCAAATTACAACACAACATCAAAAATTATGTAAAGAATAGAGTGTCTACTAGCTGAAGATTTTTCGCAAAAATCTTTTTTTTAAAATTACCCTCACGTTACATTTAATCCCGACAATCATACTTGTTCTTAAACATGTTACAAGTAATACAAGAAAAAATGTAAAGGTGCTTATTAAACTTTTATATATTTTTTGATCGCGTTGAATTTCTAAATTGGGGTTGGGTCACGATTTTTAGCCCGAATAATATGACAAATCACGTGATAGAACCCATCCCCTTGGTCAGTTACGTCATATAATACTCCGGAATACTTATGAAAAATGGAAATGTGGAGGGGTGTGATATAGGTGACAAATATGGGGTGAAAATTTATGGCGATACTGGGTAAGATTAGTGTTGGAATTTATGCTACCATAGAATTAAAAAGAGTAGAACAGCAATAACATACTACGGCAGGCAGTAAGAAAATTTAAGAATGATATTTAATCCCTCAATTATATAATGGTTTTTAAATGACCCAATTTTGATTAGTTTTAGAATCGATAAAAATTTTAACAATTATTTATTATATTCACTAAAACGTCGAGATATTTGTTAATTCAAAGACTTGAGAACAAATATGAAAGTCCCAAATTAAAAGTTCTTGTGACGTATGGATTTTGAATACAGTTTTCACCTACCACCAAATTCAACTGCTGCTAAACAATTCATTACAAACATTGCGCCTGTTATTTTCGAGAAATTGCGTGAATTCGTCATTCTTTTCCGAGAATATATTCGTTGATTATAAAAACCATTTCAATCGGAGAAAATGTTGTTGGCATAATAAAAAGTTTATGGTTTACAATGCTGAGAAATTTTGACGTTGATTCAATATCTATACGTAAAACATGTTTTTTATCGAGTTTATTCTTTTTCATTTTGCGTGATAATCCAAAGACAACTAAATCGAGTGAAAGTATCTTCGGGCTTTAACATTATACCCCGGAACCGCGAAAGAAATTGAAATTGTTATTATAAAAAATGAAAGGTATTAATTAAGAATCTTCACAAATAAACACCATCAGGTTATAGTTTGGAATGCATACTTTTATTAAAATAATTTATAAAGACAAATTTAATAATTTACAATTAAACGATCAACCAACCCTAATGAGTCAAGATACATAACTAGGTAACGAATTCGATGATACTAAACGAGTATTCACCAAGTCATCATTAGGAGAAAGAACATCAACAACAACATTTTCGTCCGTTTCGTCCGTTAATAAATCATAATTCTTATGATTACGATAAAGTATGTAGTGTTGTGTCATAAATAACAAGTCAAATGCCACACTAAGAAATCCGAGACCACTATCAAATGAATAAAGAGGAAAGATCAGCTTCCAAAAAAAAAAACCATAAAGAGATGGTGATTATTTAGAAACTTACAATTTTGCGAGGTCCTATTTGACGATGAAGAAAACAAAAAAGAATTAATTTAAAAGAATTTCAGTACTAAAAAAAAAAGGACTACTTTATCAATAACTTGCCCCTGATATTCCATCCCAGTTATCTTGTAAATACGCGTCCAGCACTAATTGAAAGATAGATAAGATTCCACCGGTGAAATCCTAAAATCGATCAGGTCTATTAAAAAAAAATTTACTTTTATCACGTTTAAATGTTTAAATGGCAATACCTTACCAATAGAATATTATGAATACTCCATCCAAGAGTGGACTTTCTTCGGAAATTCAAGTACGCCTAAAAACAAAATCCGAAGTTTTTATAAAAGAGATGGCGTATGTTTCATCACGTGATTTCTGAATAATAAACTTACTTGGGGAACATATTTCACGAAACTAAGACATAATTTAATGTAACTCATGTAATATAATAAATCAATCCACTGATTTAATCCAAATAAAACTCCAATCAACAATGAAAATATTCCCAAAAATGACATTGTTATTAATGAGAGTGCGACCGGCGATATTCGCTGATATGAATCACTCTACGGGGGTTAACGACGAAAAAAGAAATAAATATGATAAACGAAATCAAGCAAAATCGAGAGGTCGTCACGTGAATTCGTGAATTACCTTATATATAAAGGTTTGAATTAAGGTGATGATACTCAAGGTTAATGCGTGTAGGGCAAATACCACATCGTTTATTTGCACCAAATTACTTTTGCCGCCATTCCTAAATCGATATTCGTCACGTACTTCTTCAGATGCAAAGAATGCCAAATTATATATCGAATAACATGCAAATCCGTATACGTTGTACCAAAGGAAATCTATGGATAATCCTTGTACACTTTTGTTTTATTAAAAAAAGAAAATTCATTATCGCGCGCAGTAAATCATTTATACGTGATAGTATAATCTAATACCTTTTACGCCGCCAATTTAATATCACTTGAGGATAAAAACTTATTGACCATGCAAAGAAATATGTCTTTTATGTTGCATAAGTATATATGTGTACATACATATACATATGTAGGGGTATCGTTAGTAACGATCCACAAAATTGAAGTACGCATTTTTGCTTATCAATAAAAATAACTTACCCATCCTATTGTTTTTGATATTAAGTTAGAAATCACCATTTTTAATTTATATTTATGTAAGGTTGAATTGTAATTTTTTATTTTTTGAAAAAAAGGAAAGGAACCTTTTTATAAAGGGGAATTTTAACATAATGAATGGTACTATAAACATAAAATTGATTGGATAGAAATGACACCATTTATAAGCATTATGTAGACATTCTAATGACGAAATTTGTAAAACTGCTACCGTATCACGCCCACGTGACCTATTATTTGGTACAAAATTCTTTGGAACTTTCGGAACATCAACATTTTAAGGGTGATCGACAACTTGATTCGAATCATGTTTCACTATTATTAAATTAATGTTTATCACATTTTTGACGCAGCTTAATGTTGCACAAATTTAAAAATAATTCCTTTTTTAAAAATTTTTTAATTAAATTTCGTGTACAATATAATTATGTGAAATGATCTATATTAAAAAGGTAATTAAAATTATGGTACGAGGAAGAAAAAAAAAACTATTGTATTATGTAAACAATCCTTTTTACTTTTTTTTCTTTACTAAATATTTTTTAGAATTAAAATTCATATGTATTTATAATCTTAAATTGTCCAATTAATATTTTTAAAATTAAAGATTCATGACAGCGGCAGCAACAACTGGAACGGCAGCAAAAATAACATTGAATTTGTTGACGTTAGCGGAGGATTTTTCATCGGTTTTGGCGGGTTCATTTTTATTGGAGGCTTCTGGTTTAGCCGCTTCAGGTGTTGGCGATGGCGTTGGACTTTGAGCTACTGGTTGTTTAGGAACGACACCTGTTGGAGTTGCCGCTGCCATAGTTGAAGCTTGACTAGCAGCCAATGTGCAGGCCTGTTGCGTCGCAGGCTAAAGATATTTTTTAAAAAAAAAGTGAGAGGAATTATATAAATCGAGCATTATTAGATAATTATCAAAAAAAAAAAAAAAAGAAAGGGTATATATATATATTATTTTCTTTACCTCATAAGCTTTTGCCTCATTTACTTTATCAATATCGTCCTGACATTGAAGGTAACAATTTTGAAGGGCTAAAAAGCGAAGAGTTTAAAGGAATTAGGAATAAAAAAATGTAATACGAGTCACATCTTTTTACATTTTTGAAATCTTTAACATACCTTTACGTGCCTCACATTTACAACCCCAATTATTATCTGCGCAGGCACTAAATTGAGCATCCCCACTAGCTTTACAAGAATCGTATACTGCTTGATTAACACATACTGCTTCGCTTGTCGAAGCAAAGGATAAGATAGCGGTCAAGGCAATGAATAATAAACTTGTTCTCATTTTTATCATTAAGATTATTAGAAGGAAAAAAAAAATAATTTAAAAAATATATTACAATATTATTCCTTTAATGAATGAAAAAAAAAAAGGTATGAAAAATACGAAAAATTTAACCGGTTATATATATAAGAAAATTTATGAATGTTCGTCTCAAATGGAAATTCTCAGAACAATGTTGTGCATATTAGGCTGAGTATGAAATAAAAGGACAATATGCAGGATACTAGAATACAAGCATACATGCTCGTTTGGATTGGCTATGTTTAAGTTTGTATGATTAGATGATAATCGACCAACCCCCCCCCTTTTTTTAAATTTGTGGAACTTTCTCAGAATAGCCATAATTTATTATTTCTAACATGTAAAACTAAATTTGTAAAACACCATAAATAACAGTAAAAAAAGATGTTTTAGTTATTTTTATGGTTTAAAAGTCTAAGTGTGTAAATGATCATTGCTAAATTTATCTCATATTATATATTTATTACCAATTGGACTTAGAGCTATGCTCTAAATATATAATTTTATGGTTATTTTTTTCATTATGGATTTGCTGATTTTTGGTTAAATTTTTATCAGAATTTTAGATTTATTTTTCGATTTCCAGAAAACCTAAGGCTAGAAATTTCTTTTTTGAAAAATATGTTGAGGAAATATGAATTACTAAACTCTGAAACCCCTCCTCTTCTTTATCCAAATCCGGGTTCATTTATAATATTGAGAATGTGAGGTCTAAATGTTTAATTTTTACCACGTATACCATTGAAATGACATTGAACTAATTTTATACACCAATAATTACTTTATAAATGGTTAAATTTCGAAATCTTTCGATAAATTTTTTTTCTCTATCAAAGAGATTATAATTATTTATATTTTAGATATCAAGATTATTCGATTATTATGTCTCAGTTTTAAAGAATAAAGGTTCAACAGGTCATTATTTTGTTTAATTTTCAGCCATAGGATCATAAGGCTTAAATGCTTTTCTAAATTCTTCTGCATCCGACTGTTCTTGCTCTTCAGTTAGCTCACAAGCTCTCCAATCAATACGTTGACTGCATCCCATCAAGTTCGCAAGAACTTTCCTATAAATACATTTATTTTAAATTTTTTTTTAAATAAAAAAATTTTCAACCATATAATTGATTAATAGTATCCATTACCTTCCAAATTGGACGTCAAATTTCTCATTAGGATTAATTTCATGAATTAATGAAGTACCATCAGGTAAATCAACTTTAAAATGGTGTGGAGGTAATGATGATGATACTGGAAGCAATTCAAATCCAGAATCTGAAGCTTCTTTTATAAAAGCTTCTCTTATCATATTTGAATCATATTTCAAAGGTATGGGAATGACCTGCAGATGACAATGCTGTATTCCACCCGTTCTAGATACTTCAAACATAACCATACCTGCATCATATTCATTAAATAACTTTTTCAATGCAATTTTGTATTTTTCGAGTTCATCCATCATGTTAGTTTGTTCATCAATTGGAACTTCTTGAAAAGTTGGATAATGTTGAATTGCTACTAATAAGACATGACCACCACCGGGTACATTTTCATCTCGACTATCAACCAGGGGCCCCTTAGCTAACTTAAAATATATCACAAGGTTGAATATAAAATATGATGTAACGATGCAAGTGAAATCGTTTTATACTTACAGATAAATAAATTTCTTCACCAAGAGAAACAATCAAACTGTTTTTTCAATATGTAATAAGTCAATAATTAGATTCGAATTATCGATAAAAACCATCGTAAATAATTAAAAAAGTTTACATACCGTTTGACTATTTTGGGATTTGACAGACAGAACCAACAAACTAAATAAAAAGAGAGATTGAGGAACAAAACAGCAGTAAAAGTTGTAATACAAGATATTTTCATTTGTATACCTGCTTTGTTAAACAAAGATTTGTCTTTAGAAGGGCATTCCTTAGGTGGATGACCATTATCACCACAAAGATTACACGAGTAATCAGGACAGTTTACGATATAATGAACACCTGCTTGTTTACATTTATTACAAATGTAGTCTGAAGGAGGTCTGGATTTGTGAACACGACTTCCTTTAAGGGCAGGGCAATCTTTAATCCAGTGACCAGGATTTTTACATTTTTTGCATACATAATTAGGAGGTAAATCTAAGTTCAAAAAGAAATGAGTTTGTATTTACATACAAAAAAAAAAAAAAAATAAAATACTTGAAAAATTGAATTCAAATTATTTTACCATATTCAGCTCGTTTACCGCGTTTAGTAGATGGCTCCGATGCATTCCCCGAGCCCCAAAAATAGTTACCTCCCTATTAAAGGGAATTAAGTAATTCCAAAATATAAATCTATATAAGCAACATTGAACATTGTAGGGAATTAATTACTCTTACACTAGAAGAATTATCCCCAGTTCTTCTCTTTTTTCCTGCAAATATATAAGGACATCCTGTCAACATTTTTGGAGGTTTCGTGAAGGCCGATGGAGATAAATGCATAAATGGTTCAAGGTTGAAGCCATAATACCACTATTTAAAATATTTTCATTAATTCGAATCTCATTTTAATTGGGACCTTCACCACAACTAACCTTTGACTTTGTAGCATTACCCACTTCAGCCAGACCAATAAACCAAGTTGGATGTCCAAATTGCATTTGAGAATCTCCTTCATCATTTATTAAATTTGGAGAAGGAGTATTCTGATAAGGTTCTCTTTGATAGAAAACCTTTTCTGAAGTAGCAAGATGATACCTTGGTTTAACGGACAAAGCCAACTTTGCCACATGTTCCGAACCGCTGACATTCGTAGCAGGAGCATTCTGCGAAAGTCGAGTTATATCTTTTGGCCATTCATGTGTGAGAAGAATATCCACCGTATTAGGAAGACCAGTTACAGGTGAATTCAATATACCACTTGCAAACGCGATCTTTACTCCCTGTGTTGTGGTTAAGCTACTTGTTTGACCTTTTAATTGAACAAGGAAATGTAAATTAGTATAAAAAAAAAAGGTCGAATTTATACGCGTATTTTTATACCTTACCAAGATAAAACAAATTTGGACAAAATTCTCCATTATTACTTGCAATACGTTCTTTTACAATGTCGGGTAATTCACGCTCACCATACATGAAATAGGACGTGATTGGCACTATAAATTATAATATCGAGAAGAGAATTAAAAAATGTAAAAATCAAGAAAGGTACTTTATTAGATTTGACAGCGTACCCTCGATTTCACCGGAAATCAAAGATTCTAATTCAGAGTTGTTCTCCCCAAAAAGATCGCCGACACACAATAATAAGTCAAAAGGTCCATAATTAGTGATGATTTTTTTAACTCCTGCAAAAAGTTCAGTTAGTTTCCCATTTGCTGAACCAACTGTTAATCTATAAAAAAAAAAGATAAAATTAGATAAGTATCAATAAAGTTCTGCGGACGTAATTTAAAACTTACACCCTGATTGTAGTCATAATGGAAAGAAATCAATATGATTAATGACAAAGATGGATGAAATGAAATTAATACGCGATCATATTAGTAGAGGTTACACGGTGTAATAGATATTTAAGGTCGGTATTATTAATTATTTACTTTTTTTAAACTTATTTATTTATCACCAAAATTTATTAAAATGGGGGTCGGTTTGAGTTGTCTTGGAGTCGGGGCCGCGTCTTGGATAGCTTCTGCCCTTGCTTCATGCTTTTCTGCGGCAGCTTGTACGTTAGCCTTTAAATCATGTAATTGCAATAACTCTATAGCAACAAGAGTCGGGTTTGCGGTAAATATAAATTATTTCAAACGTATTCTTTGAAATTTAACGACTGGAATTAACTCTTCAATTATCCTTATAGATCATATTTCTCCTGAATTCAATGGCAAGGATTTATTACTTCCATCTCATAAATTCATTTCTTTACAATAATAATAATTTTACTTTTTGGTAAAATAGCTTGCATGGATCATGATGTCTGATTGGGCAATTAAGCAGCTGGAGAAAATGCTTTATGATTACCTGCAACTGAACTGTGAAGAGGGAACTTGTTATGGAGTACTCGCAGTACATCGTATTTGTTTTGCACTTTCATTGTTCCATCTCTTTTTGGGACTTTTGGTGGTTGGAGTTTATGACACTCGTGATAAACGGGCATCCATTCAAAATGGGTAATTAGAAAATTCATTGCAATTTTTACAATACGTATTTTTATGCATTACTAAATGTTTAAATTTTATAGATGGTGGGGACCAAAAATTTTATTATGGATCACATTCGTAATCATTTCCTTTTTTATTCCTAATGGATTTTTCATATTTTGGGGCAATTACATTGCATTAATTGGAGCAACGTTATTTATCTTGGTTGGATTAGTATTATTGGTAGATTTTGCACATACTTGGAGTGAAAGATGTATAGAAAATTGGGAAAATAATGATGAAAGGTGGAAATATATCCTCATCGGATCTACAATTTCAATGTTTATTGGATCAATTGTACTAACAGGGATTATGTACGGATTCTTTGCTGGACATGGATGTGGTCTAAATCAATTCTTTATTACGTTTAATCTTATATTATGTTTGATTGTAATTGGATTATGTATTTCACCAGCAGTACAAGAAGCAAATTCAAGATCAGGATTATCACAGGCTTCGATGGTTGTAATTTATTGTACTTATGTTATATTGAGTGCAGTTGTAAATGAGCCTGATGACAATTTGTGTAATCCATTAAAGAGGAGTAGGGGTACAAGAACAACTACAATAGTTATCGGTGCTTTATTTACTTTCCTAGCTATAGCCTATTCAACATCAAGAGCTGCTACACAAGGGGCATTAATTACAAAATCTGATTATCATCCATTAAATACGGCCTCAGCTGTACCTCTAATGATGAATCAACCAGATGGTTTCCCAAACAATATGAGATCCGATACGTTAGCTGCAGCTGTTGAAAGCGGAGCTATGCCCGCTTCAGCTTTAGATGACGACGATGATGAATATGGTTATGACGGTAATGATGAAAAAAATGGTGTCGCTTATAATTATTCTTTCTTTCATTTGATCTTTGCCATAGCTGCTATGTACGTTGCTATGTTACTTACTAATTGGAATGATGTTACTACTACTGGCTCTGATAAATTAATTATTATTGGTCAAAGTTATATTGCTGTTTGGGTTAAAGTTATTTCAAGCTGGATTTGTTTACTTTTATATTCTTGGACTCTTGTTGGTCCCGTTCTTTTACCAGATAGATTTATAGTAAGTCGTCAATTTTTTTTTTTTTTTCCTTATAAATTGAATCGAATATTAAAAATTTTTTTATTTATTATTTATAGGATTATTAAGATAATCTAAATTGTTTCGGTGTATTTTATTTATAATAGAATGTTCCAATTACATTACATACATTATATATATATTGTTAACAAACCCATTTAATAATATTTTTTTTATTAATAAAAATACTTTTGCAAAATTATTATTCTAAAAAACCATGCATGAAATAAATATCTCTTGTTCATCTTTTTTTTTGTTTATATTTATATCATTACAAATTCTATTTAACAAAATTCATCAATATCTTAATAACAAAAGGAGAGAATTAAATTTTAACTCCTTTAGCGAGATATTTCTTATAATCTTCAATGGTTCCTTTCCATGTGGTTACCGTGTGATCTTTACATAACCATATTTCTTCTGCTACCTGAGAAATTAACCGAAAATCGTGAGATACTAAAACTACGCCACCTGAAAATTCTTTGATGGCTTTTGCAAGTCCATCAATACTTTCCATATCCTAAATGTAGAAATAATCGTTAATATTCATTTATATTTTATTTTTTTTTAAAAAAAAAAGAGTTTTAACTTGTCAACACTCCAATTAAAAAAATAAATAAATTACCAAATGATTCGTAGGTTCGTCCATAAGAACAATATCTGGTTTGGATAATACCAGTTCGGCAAAAACTAATCGAGACTTTAAACCATCACTTAAATTACCGACCGGATTTGTTTGATGAACACCTGTAAGACCATATCGTCCAATTTGATTACGCCAAAACTATGAATGAAATTGAAAACACGTTAAGGAAAATACATTTATTGTAAATTATTTGCACAATTATTTGTATAATCTTACATCTACATCTCCTTTCAATTGAACAAATTGTCTTCTCATATATTGGATTGGACTCAATTCCATATCAAGTTGATCAGCACTAAAAAATAATACACGTTAGAATATAATAATATAAAAGTTAGTTGTGAAATATCATTTATATCGTATTAATTACCTATGCTGGCTGTATTTGGCCAATCTCAAATTAGTGTGTCGAGCAATTCTACCTTTGGTAGGTTGAATTTCACCCATCATCAGTTTGAGCAAGGTACTTTTTCCTACACCTGATTAATTTTTAAATATTAAATATCTCTCTTAGTATAGTTATATTTAAGGTTTAATTCAGAAGAGAGCATATGAGTAATTACCATTAGGTCCTACAAGTGCTACACGAGAATCCATGTCTACGGCTAAGTCAAGATCTTCGTATAACAAATCTTCCGATTTAGTACTTCCGCTATAAGAGAAAGACACCTGGTCAAATTGTAAAACTGGTGGTGGAAGTTTTTCGACATTTTCAAATTTGAATTTAAAGGTCATAGGTGGATCGACCTTTAAAGATTTAAATATAAGCAAGATTAAATTTGTAGATAAATTCATTAAACTTTAAAATATATACCTTCTCGATCAACCCAGCAGCCTCCATTTTGTCAATAATTTTCTGTTTACTTTTAGCTTGTTTGACCTATTATAAAAATAATAATTTTCCGAATTATATTACATCACAAATAAAAAAAAATTTGCATAAAATGATGGTTTACTTACAAGATTAGCATAAGTACCAGCCGAAGCAATGAACTTTTTGATGTGTGCAATTTCATCTTGTTGTTTATGGTATGCTTTCATTTGGTTAACTTCCAACTCCGCTTTAGTTTTTACGAAGGAAGAATATCCACCTCCGTAATAATTTAATTTTTTCTTTTCAGTTAAATGCATAGTTTCATTGCAAACACCGTCAAGAAAATCTTGAGAATGACTAACCAAAAGCAAAATACTGAAAATAATATGATGGTATTAGTAACCAAATTTGTTAGCTTACCGAAACTGACCTAACATACCGATTATAATTCTTCAAATATTCTTCGAGCCATACACAGGCTTCCAAATCCAAATGATTTGCTAAATAAAAAATTAATATTGGTAAGAGTTGAAATCAAAATTAATATACTAATTTATTTTCATACTTACTTGGTTCATCCAACAACAATAAAGTGGGTTTAATAAACAAAGCTTTTGCCAATGCTACTCGCATTCTCCAACCGCCAGACATATCTTTAGTTTTTTTAGCCATCATTTCTTGATTGAAACCTAGACCATGAAGAAGAGTGCTAGCGCGAGATTGAAATGTCGACTCATCAAGAGCAGAAATACGATCATACAAATCTTCTAATCTTATGTCATCTGCTCCATTATCTTCAGTCAATATGTCTTCAACTTCTTTTTCAAGACTAAATTAAAAAATTAATGTTTAAATAAAAGACGTACATAATAATTCAATATACAATTGGAATTACATAAAGTCAGAAAATTTAATATAATTACCGAGTGATCTCACTCTTTGCTGCCAACATAACATAATCAATAGCATTAAGATCACATGGTTCTGCTTCTTGATTTAATAAATATACCTATAAATGGATAAATAATATCAATAATTCAATTCAGTAATGATTGAAAAAAAGAAACTACCATTTAAACTTACATCAATAGAATCTGGAATCGGTGCTTCTCTTGCTGCTAAAGAAGCCAAGAACGTACTTTTTCCTGAACCATTCGCACCTATTAGACCATATCTAAATTATCAAGGAATGTTAAGCATTGAATGATTTAAAAAAAAAAAGGAAAAATGAATCGATCGGACTATATACCGTCTACCAAAATTAAGTTCAATCGTGGCATTTTCAATTAACACGCGTCCATAAAAAGACAAACTATATTGCTCAATCTTAATATCTCTGGATCTGGGCTGTGAGGCCAAAACACCAGTAGCAGTTCTTTCTCCAGATATCTTCAGCGTTTCCAAAGACAACCCATTAGCAGCGGCCGCTACGCTAAGTTCGGTTGTTTCAGTTGAACCATTAGCGACAGGTGTTTCTTCTGGCTTCTTTGTGTTTTTGGCGGCTTTTTTGGCCAAACGTTTTTGTTTTGAGGCTGATGACTTTGATGACATTTTGTAGATGGGTAAATATAGGATGATTTTTTGACCAACGAATGTGTTGTTAAGAATATAAAGAAGTCACCAAGTCTACGACCAATCGAGATGCGATTGAGTGAAACGGATAGATCTAAAGAGTCGACTACAAGTTTTCTTACCCGAGAAAACCTTTATTTCAATTCTCGAATGTAAAGTCAGATCAACCGTTTGGAGCTCATATTTATATCCTGACAAATGGCATGGATCGGGGACCCCAGCATTTATGACGTATTTCTCGTTTTTACTTTTATTAACCTTTTTAAAGATAATTGATTAAAATATTTAGCCAATCGAAATACTTGGATTTTTAATAATATTTAATAACCCTATATATTATAATAATAAATCAACTTATTAATCCAATACAATTAATGATATTTTTACAATAAAAATGGTAGATAACGTATCATAGCTAGTTATATTAAGGTTAAAACTTATAATATTTTACTTGAAATTAATATTTCAATCTGATAAAGAGCTTACTTATCAGAATAAGAATTAAAAAATTTTTATTTATTAATAAAAATAATTTTATTAAAATTTATTACAATTATAAAAAACGAAATAATAATAAAATTCATTAGTTTTAAGAATTTTAATTAAATTATTTTTAATTAATTATTATATTTTTCTAAAAATAAAAATTAATTATCTTTACTTATTATGTAATTAATAAAGTTTATTATTATAAAAAAAAAGTTGATTATTATAGTATTAATTATAAAATTTGCTAATTAAAAATAGATTTCAACATATATAGTAAAGCTTTAAATTCTAAAAATTAAAATTTATTTTAATATTTTATAAATTTAACAAAATAAAAATTGTAAAAATAAAGTTTAATTTGTTAAATAAATTAATAAATTAATATTATAATGATCTTTTATTCATAACTTATCAAATTATGAATTCCTAACTATTTTTAGTATAAATATATTAATATAAAATAATTCATTAAAAATTATATTCTATTTATATAAAATATTCAACCTATTTTTATTATTATTTAATAATAAAAAAATTTATAAAATATTAATTTTATTAATTAAATAAACTATTTAAATATATTTAATTATTATAATTTTATTAATTACTTTATTATTAATTACATAATTCTAATATTTGATTTATTAAATTAAAAAGTTCTAATTAAGATAAATTTAATGATAGTATTTTATTTTCATTTAATATTAGATTAATAATTTTAATATATAGTCAACTCTTGATATAGTGAACTCTTGATATAATGAATTTTTTGAACAAATATAATAAAAATACTCTTGTTATAATGAATTGGCCAATTAAATCTCTTAAAATCTTCACTATAGCCTTATAGCGAAGTTGAGGTCTAGGATATAAAGTTCGTTATAACAAGAGTTGATTATATTATTAAAATGAATATTAAATAATTTACAGATTATTATTTAAAAAAATTATAAATTATAAATTTAATAATTATAAATATAATCTTTTAATTGATAAAATATTTTAAATAATGAAACAATAGATAATTTTGCAGATTATTACTAAAAAAAGCTATAATTTCTTAACTAAGCCTAATAATCAAATAGCCAAAACTATAAAAATAATAAAAATGATTAGAATATTTTTAATAAAATTATCTATGTTAATATAGTTAAATTAATTTATTTAATTTAACTTATTAATAAAATTTATAATATTTCTATAATTTTTTAAGTTATACTTTATCAATAATTAGTATAAGAAATAAATTAATAATTTTAAATAATATTAACATGTGATTCTATAAATTATAACTATTAAATAAGGTATTTAAGTGATAAATTCTTTTAAAATTTATATAATAATCTAATAGTTAACTTAGTAAGTTAATAGTTCTATTATGTATTGCAAAGTATATTCATACTTTGATAAGTTAAGTTCTATTATATACTAAAATATATTCATATTTCATTAAGTTAGATTCTATTATATATTCAAATATATTCATATTTTGGTAAGTTATTCAAATTTTGATCATATTATTCAAAAAGTTAACACAAAAATTATAAATTATATTAAACAGTTTATTACTAAAAATTAAAAAATAAAAGATAAAATAATAAAGTAAGAAAAGAAAGAAATTAAATATATAGTTAAGTAAGAATTGCATAAATTCTAAAATAAACTAATCAAGTTGTATCTAGTAACTAATAATTATTTTTTATAATAAATTTAGTTCCCTTTAATATAAATCTAAATATATCATATATGTTAGACATATTAGGTATGCTAGGTATATTAAATATATTAAGTATATCAGATATATCAGGTATATCAAATATAATAAATATATCAGGTATATCTGATATATCTATACATAAAACTGAAATTAAATCTAAAAGTTAAAATATTTTGACTTTAAGGTCATAGCTAAAATTAAAATCAAAATTAATTATAAAGATCAAATTATATTACAAAGGTCAAAATCAATTATAAAAATTAAAATATATTACGAGAGTTACAATAGTCAAAATAATAATTATACCCTAATATGGCAATTAGTTTTATATTTAAATTTATAGTTATATAATATATTTTTGTGTAATAACGAAAATTACTAAAAACAATTTTATAAAATGAGTATCACTAAAAAGAAAATAATTTATATAGTCACATATATTATAATATAAATAGTAATGAATAAAAAATCATGATCTTTTATAAAAGGTTAATTATGTTTTTTCATATCTTAATATATTCAGTTAGAATCTATAAAATCTACCTTTTTTAGTTTCTGATCTGACTATAAGCTCAGTTAATTATCAATGCATGATATCAATAGACTCTAAATTATTATAATTTACTAGTTTATCACTCTCATAAGTCTATTTTAATCATGTTAAATATATTTAAAAACTAGTCTAATAGGTGTCATATCTAAGGTAAGATCTAACTTGAAGCCTGCATAGACTAACAGATAATATCTTAGCATTGTTAGATATTTAGCTGTACTACTAAATAGAAGGGTCAAATAAGGTATTCTATTTCTAGTTCAAAGAATAACTAAACTTGCTATACCATCAAACAATTTAGGAATTGAACCCAATCTCTTTCCTTAATATAGAACTAGACACATAATAATTAAAGACAGTGCAAGATCAACATCTGAAACTTATAACTTATGTTATAGCTTTACATGTCTACTATTAAATGCTACCTGTAGGCAATGATATACATTTTTGATGTCCAGAGATTTGTTATCCTAGCTATATATCCTAAATATATATTCTAACCTATTTTAATCTATATCTCAAATGTCCTATCTATTTTATCTATATTCCATCAGCATTTCATTAGTATAATGTTAGCATTTGGCTATTTAATCAGTGTTTGGCTATAACTATTTAGCTATTTGGTTATGACTAAAATAGCCAAATTTTATTTTAAGTTTAGCCGGTCAAAAAATTTTTTTATATAATATTTCACAAATGAAACAGAAATATAATTAGTTAATTGCAAAAAAATTGACGTTTCTGACATTCATAACGTTAAAAATTGTAAAAAATTGACGTTTCTGATGTTCAAAATGTTTTATTTTGCAAGAATTTTAATATCTTAAACGTCAAAGATGTCAATTTTTGCAATTTTGCACATCTGAAATATCAGAAGCATTAATTTTTTGCTATTTTGCAAGAAATTTGAACGTCTTGAATATTGGATACATCAAGTATTTTTTGCAATTTTGCAATAAATTCAATAAATTGCAATTTGCAAATAAATCGTGATCAAAATTGATAAAGTCATATGATATTTAGCTGATTTGACCAATTGATGATTTAGCCGCTAATTTTAACTAATCAGCCAAATCAGCTAACAGCCAAAAAATTAGGCTTAGCCATAGCCAAATACCAACTATGCATCAGTGTCCCATCAATATCTATGACAACACTACCTATAGGCTAATCCTAAGTAGTCAATGTAGTACTTATCCATTATAAGCTAACCCCTATTATACCATTAATTTCACTTTTTATGGTGATTTTAAATAGATTCACTAATTATAATCTTTACACATTATTAAAAAGGCTTAAGATATAGAAATATCACATATAGATAGCTTCAAGAATTATCATATTCTACAAATTCATAATCATAATTTGTACACATCCTATAAAATTCATTCCTAGAATTAAACTAGTAAAAACTCACAATAAATTAATACTACAATCTGTACTTAATTAGTGCTGAACTGGGTCTATCGTAGTATAACCTACAATAAGGACTCACACTTTATAATTTAAGCTAAAATTACTAATCTTTCTGATCTTCTATTAATTCTAGCAAATTTTATTTGTTTCGCTTAATTTTGATAAAATTTATCCATTTTGTCTCTATTATATTATTTTAGCCTGAATTAAATAATTGATAATAAAATATTCTTTTTAGAAGTTTTATAATACCTTAATGTAATACTTGTATAGATTTTCATAAGGACAAAATTTTTTTTTTAGATTTGTGTAATTGTAACTCTAACTAACTTTATGTATTTTGACTCTTATAATTAATTTCATTTTGACTATTTTGACTATCATAATCATTTCAATCATTTTTAATTTAGTTTCATATATAAATATGTCAAATAAATTATTCTGCAACCTTTTGCACTATATAAATTAAATATATCTGCTATATTAATTATATTAATTATATTACTTATATATTTATTTATATTATATTATGTAAATTAAACATAAAATACAAAACTGAAATCTCAAAACCTTTTAAGTTTAAGTATATACCAAAATTAGTTTTAGAATATGCATTTATTTTCAAAATTTGAAATCTAAAACTAATCTAAAACTTATATACTGAAATATAATTAAAATTTTTATTAATTTTATTAATTAATATTAAATTAAATAATACTATTAAATTACCTATTAAATAAAATTATATTAATTATAAATTAAAATTTTTAATTAATAAATCTATATCAAAATCACTTTTCTTATCTAATTTTTAAATAAAATCATTAATTCCATTTAATTCTAATTGCTTATTTGTTAAATTATCTTCTTTAAATATTAAATTAAAATTAAAGATATTTAAAATTTTAGATCTGAAATAAAATTTGTTTACAATTATCATCAGTGAATAGGTTTAACATTAACTTTAACATTTCCTTACTATTATAATTATTAATTTATTTTTTATTATCATCACAAAGATGAACATTATTTAAAATTGCTCAAAATTTATCAGCAATCTAATCTTTATTATAATTAAGTAATTTAGATTTACTATTAGTAATATAATAGAAATAGATCTTTATCATAGTTTCTAAATTATCAGTTAATAATTTAATTTAACTTTTTATCAATAATTTATTCATAAATTGACTAAATTCTCTTGTAATTAGAACAATTAAAAATAATTTTATTGTAATAAGATAAATTTAGTATATATATTTTTCATTAACTAAGAATTATATTTATGAAGTAAATAAATTATTATAAGATGCTATTTGTAAGTGAAACTCAGTAATTTGCGTTAAAAGAAATTCTGCAGAATATTTTTTAGAGTAATTAAGTTTTTTAAAATAAGCAATAATATTAGAAATCTTTAATATTTGTTGCTAAATACATACAATTACATTTTGAATTCTTTAATATTAACATACTTTTGCTTTAAAACCTATTTATTAATAAAGTTAATTTTTAAAAAATATTATCATTATATAAAAATAATAAAATAATAAAAATTGATATTTTTTACCTTTTTAATCTTGAATATAATATACTTAAGATATCATATATTTTAAAGTGTTTATTAAAAATTTTTATTACATGTTAATAAAATCTTGTATTTTTATTTCATCAGAAATCTTATTAATTAATTGACTAAAACATACTAAAGAAAAATAATAATTTACTAGTATTGATTTACTACTTTTAAGATTAAAAATAGCATTTTTAATAAGTTTCATAATATTAACTAAATCATAAATATTATTAAAAAACCTTTGTTTTTGATTAATAATTGTTTTAATAACTTTATTTGTAATACAGTCAACTCTTATTATAATTACACATTTAGGATATTTTATATTCAGTGACTATAACAAAATATGATTATAAATAAAAAAAATTTTTTTAATAGTAAAATATAAATAAAAATCTATAAGAAATATATAAAACTAAATAAATAAAATAGTTAATTTCTCATAGCTGAGCAGGTCAAATAATCATTTTAAAAAAAAATTTTTTTTTTTTGATTATATAATATCAGCTGGGTATAAAATATAGATTTTAAAATTTTTTTTATATTAATATTGATATATATTGATATATAGTCGTCTACCCTTTATAGTTACCTCCTATATATAAATCTTTTGTTATAAGCATATATTTTATAAAAACTAATACCTCTTAATGTTATATAAAAAAACCCCTTTTATAATTACAGAGTTTTTATAGTCATACTCTTTCAGAAATAACACTTTAGTAACAAAATATAAAAATTCTCTTATATAGTAACTTTTTTATTATAATCACATTTTTATTTTTAATTTCAAAAGATATGACTATAAAGAGAGATGACTATATATAAAAATATAAATTTATTATATTAATAGAAAAAATAAGATATCAAGGAAAATTTGTAACTCCAATTCCAATTGATCATTATTTTTATTATATTATATAATAAACTATTATATTTTATTATCTATAAATATTATAACTGAATAATACTACTAAATTAACTATTGTTTAATATACTAATTATATTATTATATTAATTGTCTTATTATATTAATTATATTATTAACTTTTTATTATATAAAAACATCAATCTTTTCTCACTTTTTTTTTCTTTTACTATGCAATTAAATATTTGAAAATTTTAATCTTTTTTCTATTTTAATCAATAAATTTAGATTTACAGTATATGCTTTATAGTAAGGATATTATTTTTTAAGCATAGACGTTATATATTCATATAAATCACAATTAAAATATATAGGTAAAAATTGGCTGAATAATAAGCCTTTCTTTATCTCATTATAACATTTTAGTAAAGCATTTACAAATACTTTTGATAGAATATTTTTTAACTCTTGATTTATATTATTTCATTTATTATCTATATTTATATCTTCTATAAAACTTTCATCTACTTTTATTTCTTTCTCCTCTTCTTTCTCTTCCTCTTCTTCAGCTGATTTCACATTAAATAAAATATTATCATCATTTAATATTTCTTCTCTATAACATTTTCAAGATAGTTCTTTTAAATGATTGTTATCTATTTTAAATTTTTCATCATTTTGAGTAAAATAGTATCATATGTATAATACACTGTATCAAGATACGCTGTTAAAATTTTTTTCATCTTCTGTAATTTTTTTGAAAGCATATAAATATCTAGACTTATTATAATTTATGCATATTACAGTCATATTCACATTTTTTGCTCTTTACGCATTTCTTGTTTATAACATTTGCTTATCATGTCTTTGTTTTTTCTTGTATTTATCTAACTTTACCTTACGAATCTGTATAAATAAATAATATAATTTATTAGTATCTGTGTTATAAACATCATTAAAGCTTTAATAGTATTTATTGTTTTCTAAAATCAGATCAAATAAATGATTTAATATAATAAAAATATCTTTTGGACTTCTTATTGATAAACAAATATTACAGTTATTTTTGTTACATTTTTATTAAAAAAATAGGAATGTGAATGATAACTGATTAAAAAATTTGTTAATTAGCTTATACAATAGTAGTCATAAGTATCTGACCGCTAATATTTTCTAAAATTAAGTAATAATATCCATTAAAATTTTCCAAAATTTAAGTTCAATACCAATGTTGATCATATGTAAAATTATAGATTTGTATTATGTATAATTTATGATTGGTAGATTTTATATTTCAAAAAAAAATGACATTCTTTTATGTAAATAATTTCATTTTTTATTATTTAACGTCTAAATTTCTTAAATATATAGAACTTTTTTTTAATATATTAATTTTTTAGAAGTTATTACATATTTTTTATAGAATTTTAGATAAATTACACAATTAATTAAAGAACTTCAATAATACAGTATTCTTTCTTTTAATTTTTAAATAATATTTGTATTTATTAACTTTTTGCCAAATTTACTATAAGTTACCTTTTCTAAAATATTCACAAATATAAGCCAAAAGTCACTTTTATAAAAATTATATATGAAATTAACATTAGATTTTTGTTGAAAGAAAATTGATTTATCAAATTGCAAATCTAAAAAATCATTATAATATGAATACTTTAGCAAATATTATATAACTTTTATTTATTATTAAAATCTTTATTTAAAAAAATATTTTTAAATATAATAAACATAATTTTATTATAATAGAAATAAAGTAGCTATATTTTTAAAATTCCATTTCAGTTATTATTGAAATTTATATAAAAAAAAACTATTTTGTTTAATTTATTAAAAAATATTAGTAATTTATATACAAAATTCATCAATCATCTAATTTTTGATTTATATATTATATAAGCTTATAATTTTATGTGTAATTAATATTAGTATTATTCTTGAATTTTGGAAAATTTTAATGGGTATTATTAATTAACTTTAAGAATTATGAGGGATCAGATACTTATAACTGCTTCTGTATATTAAAAATAAATTAAATTATTAAAATTTTATTTAATAAATATAAATAGAACTATTATTCTAAATTTTTAACATTATTTTTTATATTAGCCTAACCTTTATCATCTTTTGTTAACATAAAATCTAAATAGAGAATTGAATTCTATAATATATTTATATCTAATTCTGATGCAACTTTAAAGCTTTCAAAATTCTTATCTTTTAATTGTAATCATTTAAATATATTATTTAATAAAGAAATGATAGGATTAAAACTTTATTTAAGACCTTTTTTAAATCAGAAGCTTTTTCTGCTATTTTTCTAATATCATTCATACTATTACATTTTAATATAATTTCTTTTAATTTTATATCTATTTCTTGATATATTAGACCAATATACTATAACCCTAAATTCAAAATTAACATTATTCTTTTCAATGGATTTTTTCATGAATAATCAGACAGTGTATGCATAACCACTAAATAATCTAAATCTATAGCTAAAAATAAACTGATAAGTGTTAATTGTATTTTAATAAATTTTACTTAATAATCTAGATCGCTATCTATAAATAAAAATAAATAAGACTATTTGTTTTATCTACTATTTTATACAGTAGCAGTCATAAGTATCCGACCCCTCATAATTCTTAAAGTTAATTAATAATATCTATTAAATTTTTTTTAAATTTAAGTAGGTTCATATCATGTATAATTTAGAAGTTAGATGATCAGTAGATTTTATATTTTAAAAAAAATCACCTTTTTTATGTAAATAATTTCATTTTTTATTATTTAACATCTAAACTCCTTAAATATATAGATTTTTTTTTAATATATTAATTTTTTAGAAGCTATTATACATTTTTTATAGAATTTTAGACAGATTACACAAATATTTAAAGAACTTTAATAATACTGTATTCTTCCTTTTAATTTTTGAATAATATTTATATTTATTAACTTTTTGTCAAATTTATTTTAAGTTCACTTTTTTAAAAAATTCACACATATAAGCCAAAAAATCATTTTTATAAAAATTATATATAAATTAATATTAGAGTTTTGCTAAAAGAAAATTGATTTATCAAATTACAAATCTAAAAAATCACTATAATATAGGAGTGTTTCTAGGAAAATCAGGTTCTGAAAAATTTTTGATTAAAATTAAGAGCTTAATACATTTTAATCTAATAATATCAAAAACTAAAATATAATAACAATCTTAATTTTGCTAAAAAATTCTTAGAACTTGATTTTCCTAATAATTAACCTATATAGACTTTTTAGCAAATATTATAACTTTTGTTTATTACTAAAATCTTTATTTAAATAATATTTTTAAATATAATAAATATTATAATTTATTATAATAGATATAAAATAGCTATATTTTTAAAATTACATTTCAGTTATTATTGAAATTTATAAAAAAATCTATTTTGTTTAATTTATTAAAAATATTAATATTTTATATGCAAAATTCATCAATCATCTAATCTTTGATTTATATATTATATAAACTTATAATTTTATATGTAATTAACATTGATATTATATTTGAATTTTGAGAAATTTTAATGAGTATTATTAATTAATTTAAGAATTATGAAGGATTAAATACTTATGACCGCTACTATAAGCAAAAAATCTATTTATTTATCTTTATTATAATTAACCAATTATTATACTATAACTAACTAATTTAATAGATAAAATATAAATAAACTAAGAATAAGAATAATACATAATAAAATTAGAATTATTCTTAATATTTGAAGATTAGTTAAATTTTATAAATCCTTTAATTTTCAATATTTTTAGAATTTTATATTGTTACGGTCAGTTCTTTAAGATACTTATGAGTGGTAAGCGAAGCAATATTTATGGGTGGTAAGCAGAAGGTTTAATTTGATATTTAGATTTAGAAGAGTGTCAATAAATTAACAGTTTATTTAATAACTATAA